TCCCGCTGGTGGATTCCTGAAAACATATCGCTCGCTTTCTATTCGTTTCTTTTACCTTTCTTTTAGTTTCTTAAAAAAAAAATATTCTCTGCTGAAGAGGGGACAAGGGAGCTGACTCCTCTCAAATGAAATAAAGCTCCGGCGTATTGATTACCCTAGTATTGATCCCGATTCTCTCCCCCTTCCGTCTGCTCGTCCCGACCCTCTCGACGGATTCCTGACTGAATGCCATTACCTTTTTTCCCTCAGCGAATTTCTTTCTTTCTTTCTTTCTTTCTTTTCTTCTTTTTTTTTTGGTCCGTTCACATTTGTCTCAAGTTGACATTTTTTGTCTGTTGGGTGCTTCCTGTGTGTTTGTCTCAGACTGTTGTGTTCCCTCTCTTGTTTTTAAAAATAATTAATTGTAGTTTAGTTCATGTTTGTGCACAGAGGTCAGTCTAGGTTTGTGTGGGCATAAGTACTATATCTAGGTGCATAGAAGTCTGTCTAGGTTTGTCTCATTGTGTGATTGTTATATATTTTTTTAAAATGTAGGTGGTTGGTGGGTGCTCTGGTGTGGTTTGGTTTTTCTTTCCTATCTATCGCCCTTATCTCCTCTCCTTCTTTTTTTATGTTTGTTACTCTCTTGTAACACCTCTAAGCATCTGGCGCTCATAATATGACATTTGCGAGCGCTGTAAAACCTCTACTGACTAAAACTAAAATTATTTGTTTTTGTATTTTTGTATTTTTTGTCTATCTGCCTGCCTGCCTCAGCGTACACACTCACACACACACACTCACTCACACTCACACACACACACGCACACACACTCACACACACATTCACACACACACTTACACACACACTCACACACACACACACACATACACACACGCACACTCACACACACACACACATACACACACGCACACTCACACACACACACACATACACACACACACACACACACACACACACACTCACACTCACACTCACGACGCACACAAACACACACACACATACACACACACACACACATATATATATATATATATATATATATATATATATGTATACATATATATCACTATCTCTATATATATATATATATATATATATATATACACACACACACACACACACACACACACACACACACACACACACATATATACACACACACACACACACACACACACACACATATATATATATATATATATATATATATATATATATATATATACATATATATATATACACACACTCACACTTACACACACGCACACACACACACAGGCACATATACACACACATTATGCAACGTGTTTAGGCGTGTTAACGTGTATTAGGTATACAATTTATCAAGATGTATAAATGCGTATGAATGTGTGTTGTATGTGTGTTAGCATAGATTTATGCGTGTGCTTATAATAAGTGTGTGTTATTTACATATATCTTAATAAATAAATGAGTATCTATGTATATATATATATATATATACATATATATATATATATATATATATATATATATATATATATATATATATATATATATATATATATATATATATATATATATATATATATATATATATATATATATATATATATATCAATATTAACACAACACCAATTGAAAGATGAGATATGAAGAAAAAAGTATGCATTTCAGCAGTACTTACTTATGGTCTGGGTATTTCGCCTTAATCATGTCATGCACAAATTTCTCAACAGCTTGGTCTGTTTCTGTCACCAGGTCAGCTTCACTGTCTTTGGTTTCAACTGACTTCTCTTTGACAAAAGCCTCTCTTATGAGCTGAGGACAGAGATACAACATAATAAAACTTACATCTACAACAGTCCGTTACGCTCCCATACACAATTGTGCTGGACTACAGAGCAGATAGTCCTGGTTCGAATTCCAGACTGAGCGTTCTTGAATTGAATTCAAATTGTTTTGTAAAGTTTCCAAGGCTCTCAACCTATCTGGATTTAAACCTATTTAATTAAGAAACCAGAGATTTTTACGCTTCTCTAAAAATGTCAAATTCTCCACAGCCTCATCATTACTGTTCGCCAGATTGGGTACTTCGGCACTGCTTTCTACCCAACTTTATGTGCCTAGGGCTGGGGATAGAAACAAAGCAATTTAGAAGCGAACTTGTCTTATGAACACAAACCACACAATACTATTTTGAGGTGAGATGTCTACCTCTCTTTCAATGAAAAAAAGAAGCAGAAGGGCTTTACTTGGATTATGAAAAACCAGAAAATGCTTTTCTCTATCAAAAACGTTCTTATTTATGACACACAAAAAAAGGAGAAGAAAGCCCTGGAAATAAAATGTAGAAATTGTGAGAACTATACCCCCCCC